ATCCTTAATCAAATCAATTCTATTCAGAGTGGCTTGTTATGAAAATGTCTACTTGCCTTACTCTCCGTCAGCTCAAGAGATTGTGACGGGACTATAGGCCCTTTACTCTCAAATCCATACGGATGAACCTTCAACAAAAGGTAAATGCACTTATTAGCTCCAATCCGCATACGAAAAAACTTTGTGTTACTAAACCTCACCTAATTTCTGTGGCACACGCTATGCAGATTTCCCACTCTATTGGCAACACCCTCAATTTCTTTAATACATTCTTACTATTACCATCATTGGCATTAGCCCATGTTCTCCTTATATTTTATTTAACAAGTTACCTCTGCTCCGGCCATGAGAGGGAAAGGAAGAATTCCCACCTCTCAATGCAGCTGCATTCCATTCTCATAAGCACCAAGGGGCTTTCTGAACCCCAAACTAAGGCCTTGCATACCACTGATATTAAATGTAAATATTTGTAGATTCCCAAGTAATATAAAAATATGTCAGGAAGTTACCAATCACGATTTCTGTGAGTTTTGTTTGAGTGCCAAGTTTTATGAGCTGGGTTCTTCAATCTTCTCAACAGGAAGTACATGGAAGGCATATAGAAATTCACAGAGTGGACTTAAGCTTGCGCTCTTATTTCATAGACACCATGCTCTTGGGCATGTTACTCTCTCACCCTTGGCCTGTCTGCACAATAGGAGTAGGGATTCCTATTATCTTTCATAAAGAGATAACTTTTTTCTATTAAAAAAAATAATCAGATCCAGAATAGTATTTGTTGAGTATCAGTTTGGGAGTGCATTTCCCCATCTACCAACACAAATAATGCCTTTAGATCAAACCCTATCGTCAAGAGGAGGCATTGTGCAGCAGGTCAGACCTTGCATGAAATTCCCCTGGCACCAGGAGCATTTTGTGACTGGCACAGGTCTAACTGTGGCCCAGTGGAGATCTCCAAATGCCAGGTTGGTGACTGACATTTCCACCTGGCTAGCCCCTCCAGCTTTTTAAAGCAGGAAAGCAGACGAGCTTATTTATTGCATTTATATCCCACCTTTTCCTCCAAGGAGTACATGATTAATCCCCCTCCTCAATTAACCCCTACAACAACCCTGTAAGGTAGGTTAAGAAGATGTGACTGACTCAAGGTCTCCCAGTGAGCTTCGTGACTGAGTGGGGATTTGAACCCTGATTTCCCAGGTCTTAGTCAGACACTTTAACCACTACACTACACTACACTACACTGGCTTCCTAGAGTACTTCTGCTATGGGGTAGCTATATTAAATGAATATTAGAGAAGGATCTGAAATATTTTCCTTGAAGCTTGAATTTGTTTTCTTCTGGATTGTTTTCTTAGATGTTTTAATGTGTTGTAAACCGCTTTGAGTTTTTTCCTTTAAAATATAAGAGTATAGTAATGAAATCGATAACAATAATGGCGATAAACGTCACTGCAAAAAAGGTGCCTAGACTGCCCATGGCAACTAGAACAAGACTTCTTTCCCCTTATACTTAGCCAAAGTGCAATAAAAAACTTAGAAAGGTATGAACTTCGTTAGGATCAAGAGGGCGGTATACCGTAACATCTTGTGTGGCACTGGCTATAAAAATTCCTATAAAGGGGGTTACAACTCTTGTACAAGTCTTTGCTTTTCCTGAGTATTACAGTTTATATTGAGAATTAATACACCTTGAAAATGCAACCTCTCCACACAAATAGCACAGTTGGGAGTTTATTCATTTGCTAAATACGTCAAAGTCTCGACCATAGATATCAACAAACAATGCCATACACAGAAAAAGGCTATACTGACAAATTACATATAATAAAAAGAAACACACAACCATCCTTTCTACTACTAGAGTTACTAGATGAAAACTGACACAGGTGCAGATGAAAAGCAGCCATACATGTACAAACAAATGGCCATTTATAAATGTACATGTATGAAGAAAGTTTACTTGAAATGACTTACTTTGATTATGTAAGGTCCTACTCATATAACAATCCAACAGTTAACAACTGTAAAAGATTGAATTGCTGAGGAGGGAAGGAAGAGTCATCCCAAAATTAAGTATTTATTTGAAATTTATGTTATCTACTCTCATAACTGCTTCTGCTTCTGTAGCCAGAAGGCTCACTAAATGAAGAGGAAAATAAGCACATGGAGACTGGATGCTGAGAAGCAGCATTCTTTGCTGAACACAAGCATAGCCTACTGAAACATTCTGCAATACTTTTCAAGTGTCATGAATACCATCAGTACACCCTGAAGTGGTCTGTAACAAGCATAGATCCCTACTGCCTCTGGCATAGACAGACACACACACAGTTTAGTCAGTTCCTGTACTTTGGCCAAGCAGGACTGAGTCATTTTTGCAAATGACTCCAGCTGCTTCTCCCTGCCCCCCCCCCAAAAAAAATGCCTGCAGAGAGAAACTCTTGGAACAGAAACAAAAATCCCATTCCTCTTTCTCCAAGAGGAGGGATAAAGTATGTGATATCCCAAAAGCTATTTTCTTATATAGGGAACTTGCTTATTGTACCGCTCACACCACATGTTTAGAAATGGAAAAATCTCAGACCTATATTTCTTCCTTAATGGGCTTTCCAATGGAAAGGAAAGGGTTTTGTTTTTTGCAAAAACATAAGGCTAAAGAGAAATGCTTATGTTTATGTAGCTAATGAAGTTAATAGCTCCGACTAAACAACCTTCCCAAAATAGATATTCCCAAAGTACGTCCATAATTTTTTGAGTACTCTGCACAGTGCTTGGAAGCAGAATGTCAACACTGGTTTCCCATTAACAAAGTTTATTGGAAAGCCAAAGACAAAGGGATCAAAGATGACACTGACATGAAACATGGACTAACATCTCAACACAGGCAGATTTACACCAAACTATTTGCAAATCATTGAATGAAACATCCAACATGAAAGTTTAGGATCAAAGTGAACCCCTGCATCCCTAACCAACACTGAGAAGCAAGCTCAGCTGCGACTTCACCCTCCAAATAAATACATTCAGGAATGATGTGAGAATCATTCCTAACCACACCAGACTGAGTAAACAAAAAGTTACTCTGCGACACATAAATGTTTCTCTCCCCACAACCCTTGCCTGCACCCTCAATGGCATGTTTCTTCTTTACTTCTCTCCCACCCATCTCCCCTTCCCAGCTTTCTAAGGTGGGGGGGGGGGAAGAGCTTTCATCAGGCCAAACTGAACGCGACTGCCAGCACCCTTCCCCGCCTTCACTCCTCCCTGAAGAAGAAAAGAATGTTCATTAGAACTGCACCGTCCATCCAATCAAGTATCTCAACCAAAAATCCCTCACTGCCGCTAGATTTTGGGGTGTGTGGAGAGGGGCGGGAGGAAGAGGACAGAGACAGCGATTATTAACCCTTGCTTTATCTAAACAGGACCCTTTCCCAAACCAGCCCGTAGCGAAAAAGCTGTGCCTCTTTACATCCTCTCTCCCCCACCCAACTCTTCCCTTCCAAAGCAAAAGTGGGCTCCAGGCTCCCATACACCCAAGACGGCCAGCCTCTTTCTTCAGTCACTTAAAACGCGGGGGTCGAACTCAAGGCACCCCCACCAAATAAAATCTCTCCTTCCCCCAAACAACAAACCCAACCCACAAGTTTCTCTCCCATCCCTGCCCTGCCCTCCAATATGAAGCTACCCCTCCAAAACCTCGCATCTCTTTCTCCCGCCGGCGAACTCACCAACAAACTTTCCACATTGACTGGAGACCTGGGGTCCCGGATCATGGACTCCAGCTTCCTCTGGCGCCCCGAGATCCCTCCTCCGGATTCGGGCGGCGGCAGCGGCGAAGCGGACATTTTCACCGCTTGCTGCTGGTGGTTCATTCTCCCGCTCCCCGAGGGTCCCTCGTTGCCGCCGCCTTCTTTCTCCTCTCCCTCCCCGGGCGCCTAGGGAAGCCCGGCGACGGCTGTCCGGCAGCGGGACGAGAGGGCGGCGGCGGCAGCAGCAAGCGAGGAGCGCCTTCCGCCGCCAGCGCCGCCGGTAGGTTTCTGCTTCGGGGCCTAAGGAGCGGCCCAAGGGGACCCGGCGGGGCCGCTCAGTCCCGGCCCGCTCCGGCCAGGCCTGCCTGCCTCAGGAGCAACAGAGAGCGGGGCGCCCGCGGCCACCCTCGCCCTCCTCCTCCACCAGCACCGCCGCCGCCTCCTCGTCGTCCCCCGATTGGGGCGGGCGCTGCCGCCGCTGCTCCACCCGCCCGCTTGGCGTCCCCCGCCGCCACCTCCGCTTCCCAGGCATGAACGGCCCGCAGAGGGGGGAAGGTGGGCGGCGGAGGGGAGGGGAGGGCCGGTTCCCGCGGGAAACTGCCGCCGCCTCCCGCGCCCCCCGACTAGGCGGGAAAACCAGTCACGGCCGGGCCCCCCACGCCGCCTCGGCCATTTTGCACCAGGTCAATACCCGACGGGGAGAAGGCGAGAGGAGGGAGGGTAGGAGGGAAAGAGGGAAGCCAGCAGCGGAGGAGCCCGGCTTCCTCCCCCCTCCTCCTCCGTTGGAGGGAGGGCTAGGCCCGCCTCGCTGGGATCGGGCTCCTCTCTTTCTCTCCGCTTCTGTCACTCAAGGGGTCCCCCACACACTCCCTTTCCAAGTTCCTGCCCCTTCACTGGAGCCACCGCGCCACCATTTCCCTCCTTTCCCCGCTCCCGCCTCAGGGAACTTATTCCTATAGCTGCTCCGGCTATGGCCTCCTCGTTACCCACAAGCCTCCGCTCCTCGCCCGAGCCCCGCTCGCAGGCAGGCAGGCAGGCGAGCGAACGAGGGAGGCGAGGAAAAGGCCAGGAGGGGTTTCCCACCCACCCTCCTCCTCCTCCCTCGCCCTTCGCATAGCTGGGCAGCCAGTCACCGGCTCTAACTATGGACTTTTTACCTCAGGCGGGGAAATGGGGTGGGGTGGGGGGTCGGTTGGCGGCGAGGGAGGGAGGGGGCGGGAGAAATCTGAGGGTCTGCTGACGCGCATCTTGCCCCCGCCGCGCAAAGCGGGCTGGGGATGCGCGCCCGGCTGAGGCGCAGGCATGGGTGGGGGGGGGAGGAAGCAGCAAACGCGCCCTCAGGCGATCCGAAATAGAAGGGTGACTCCCTTGCCTGCCTGCCTGACTCAATCAACTCAGCAAAACCACCTCCGCTCCCCAACTCACTGCCCGGTGTGGGAGCGAGAGGACACACGCGCGCGCAACGGGACGGAACGCGCAACTGTACACGCAAAACGCGATAGCGGGGGTAGCGCAAGAGCGGTGAGCCTCCGGGAGGCGGCCCCTCGCGCGACGGCGGCACGCAAGACCATATAAAGCTCCCGAGGGCAAGGAGGGAGGGGGCAGAAATTGAAATCCGCCGGCCGCTCTCGCGCCCGCCAACGGTTTGCCCCGCTTTGCCCAACGGCCAAGCGAAACTTCTCCAGCTGCCAGGTTAAAGCGAGGCGGCTCTCCTCAGACGAGGCTGGTCTGGAGTGTCGTGAGAGGGCGGCAAGCGGCTATTCGGTTTCGTTCCTAGAAGGTGGTTCTGGTGGGGTTTTTATGCATCAGCAGGTGCCAAAATAACTTGGGATCAGACTAGGCACCTTGATTTGAGGGGGGGAAGGAGGGTCACCAAGCCTCAGATTGCAGGGTGAGGCCTTCGACTACTGTCTTAAATCCAATAAATAATAATAATAAATACAATTTATAATTTCAATACTTCTGCTTAGAGGTTTTATGACAACCGGGAGGTACTTAAATTTATTAAATAAATACAGCGGTGGGCAGATAAGAAGTAAATAAATCAACTACCTCTGGTGATCGCAAGCGTTAGATCTCAAAGACCGGGCAAGGTGCTGACGGGTTTGGATCTGCTGGGTTCAAAGCCCTGCATCTCTCTCAAGGGGCCTCATCACACAGTAAAAAAAGGAATTAATGAATGTCCCCACCCAATTTCTACACTGGCCAGTACAAGCGATTAGAGCTTGGGATGCAGTGGTAAATCCACAATGCCGCTCCACTGTGGCCCCTCATTAGGGTTGTCTTTTAGGACTCAGCTCTGGTATTGGAAGGAAAATTCCACTCAGCTCTGGCACAGATGGGGAACGCTCAACAAATGGGGTCTTAAAATAATTCCCAGTTGCATTAAGGTAGGTTCAATAATAATGATGATGATGTGTAGGAACTGTAGGACTAAATCGGCAAAGGGTACTAAGAGATAGCTTGCGAATTCCTAAATCTCTAATAGGTTGCATTGGTTTCCCATTGAGCACCCAGACCCACTAATTACTATTCCACCACCCATGTAGCACCAAAATGATATTGCTGTTTAAGCATAAGTTTCTTCCATTATTTCATTTATTAATATTTTTATTATAGCAGATTCTGTGGGCAAGCTTACCTCTAGTGAACACAACTTCTAATGTTACTTTATATACATAGGCTGAAATGTTCCGATATAATCCTGAGCACACTTACTTTCAAGTAAGTCCCTGTGAAGTTAATAAACTCACTGTGAAGTATTTGTGTTTATTAGGTTATTCTTCTACTTTCTCCTGCAGCTATCACAGCATCTCCAGAATCCCAACTCTGCTCAAAGCCTCACATGCACCCTCTCAGCACATCTAGTTGCCTCAAGTGCCCGAAGAAGAGGTGGGGGCAATGAACAACAGGACAAGAACTGAGAATATCTTTGATATCTCTGGATCATCCCTATACCTGGTGTGCATGTATTTGCATTACTAAGTTAAAAGCTTACCCAGTTCTTCCAGAGCTTGTAATTCTGCAAAGCAGCAAGGCATCTCTGGATAGAACATGTAGCATTCTTCTTTATTTTCTGAGGAAACAAACAAAAAAAAAGTCTTCAGAGATATGCTTTCATCTACTTACCTTTGCCCTGGAATTTCTTTATCAATCCCTGGATGATCTGTCACACACAATGAAAAAGACAGCTATGAGTATATAGATAGAATCTCTGATATTTCTAATAACTGAGTCTTGGGACCAACTGGCTTGCTCCGTTGATGGGAAGCCTATCTTTTACCATATGCTGCTGAAAGCGGCTGGGGAGCGCGGGCCGCCAACCAGCTGGGAGGTGAATGTGCAGCTCCCCCTGCCACCGCCAAGACTGGAAAGGTTTCAGCATCCCCTTTATCATCTTCACTGTCATCAAAAACACTGTGTCACTACTCAGCTCAGGTACAACTGGAAACTGGTGCTGCAGCTTAGAAAAATAGTTATTTTAGATCAAAATTCTTTTTTCCCACTTCCACAAAACCAATTTGCACAGTATATGCTTGGCAGTGGCTGGGGGAGCTGCACGCTCGCCTCCCAGCTAGTTGGTGGCCCGCTCTTCAGCCGCTTTCAGCAGTATATGGTACTCCTGCGGCTCCTGCGGACTTTTCTACGAGGGAGAAGGGACTGACTTGCTGCCTCAGTCCCTTCTCCCACCTGGGGAAAACCCCGCAATAGCCACGCGGAGCTTGTGTGCGGCTCTTGGGGGCTTTTCCTGCTTGCCTCCCCGTTTCACTCCATAAGACGCACACACATTTCCCCTTACTTTTTAGGAGGGAAAAGGTGCGTCTTATGGAGCGAAAAATACGGTAATTCTAGTTAGTTTAGGTTTAGGGTTTTAGTTACCGGTATATCGAAATGATTGTAGAGAGCTGCACACATGGCCAACCAGCTGGGAGATGGGCGTGCAGCTCCCTAGCCTCCAAACTGGTTGGTAGCCTGCACTCCCCAGCCACTTTCAGCAGTATATGGTAAAATGTCGCGAATATAAGCTGCACTTTAACTTTTCAGGGTCTGAAACTGGAAAACAGTGCAGCTTATATTTGGAGGTACTTCCTTTTATTTATCACTTACCTCTAAGAGGGCTATCAGCATAGAAAAGATACAAATAAAGAAGACGACAATCATTTTTATAACATTGATACTGGTACCCTCAAGCACCAGTAGTCAACTGCCGGTTGTCATCTGTTGAGCAAGCTTCAAATCATAAGGGGATAGAGAGAAGAAAGGTGATTGGCTGAGTAGATGATGATATCATAGGTGGGTTCTGTTAAGTCATTATATATTGGGGGTGGCTGGGGGAACAGCACGCCCATTTCCCAGCTGGTTGGCGGGCGTGCTCTCCCTAGCTGCTTGGCAGTGGGAGTGGGGTGGCACATGTCCAACCAGCTGGGAGGCGGGCACACAGCTTCCCCAGCCACCGGCAATATACAATGCCTCAACACAATCCACCTATGACATCATCTACTCAGCCAATCACCTTTCTCTCCGGTTATGATTTGAAACTTGCTCAACAGATGACAACTTGAGATTTTTTTATTGGCGAGACCCAGGAGTTAAAGCAGGCTTCAAAAACCTCAGCCCTCCAGATGTTTTGAAACTACAATTCCCATCATCCCTGACCCCTGGTCCTGCTAGCTAGGGATCATGGGAGTTGTAGGTCAAAAACATCTGGAGGGCCAAGGTTGAAGAAGCCTGAGCTAAGGCATTTTTGCCTGCACGGCCGGGCCCTGCAACACTATTGGCTAAGGCAGTGTTTCCCAACCTTGGGCCTCCAGCTGGTTTTGAACTACAATTCCCATCATCCCTGACCACTGGTCTTGCTAGCTAGGGATGATGGGAGTTGTAGTCCAAAAACAGCTGGAGGCCGAAGGTTGGGAAACACTGGGCTAAGGATCTGTTTTATCTGCTTATTAGTTACCGTATTTTTCGCTCCATAAGGCGCACCTAGTTTTAGAGGGGGAAATCAAGAAAAAAAGCCTGTCCGCTTCTCCCAGAGCTTCTCGGGGCTGCCAGGGGAAGCCCGGGTCCCCCCCAGCCCCAAAGAGCAAAGAAGTCAAGACAGCGAGCAGGATCCATCCCGCTGGCTGTCTTGGCTTGTGCCAAAGCCGCGCGCAGCCTCTCCCGGCCGGAGGGGCTGCGCACGGCTATGGCAATTCCCCCACCTCCCGCAAAAGCCCACAGGAGCCGCACACTCTTTAAGGAGCGCGTGGCTCCTGCGGGCTTTTCTACGAGGAGGGAGAAGAGACTGACTGGCCGCCTCAGCTCCCGCCGGGCTCCCAAGGCTTGCGGAGAGCTGCCCGAAGCCCGGGGTGCGCTCCCCGGGTTTCAGGCTGCAGGCTGCTGTCCACAAGCCTTGGGAGCCCGGTGGGAACTCCCGCTGGGCTCCCAAGGCTTGCGGATAGCTTCCTGAAGCCTGCATTCACCCCATAGGACGCACACACATTTCCCCTTCATTTTTGGAGGGGAAAAAGTGCGTCCTATAGGGCGAAAAATACGGTACTTTAGGTTTAGGGTTTTAGTTACCGGTATATCGAAATGATTGTAGAGAGCTGCAGACACGGCCAACCAGCTGGGAGATGGGCACGCAGCTCCCTAGCCTCCAAACTGGTTGGCAGCCCGCACTCCCCAGCCGCTTTCAGCAGCATATGGTAGAAGGTCGCGATTATAAGCCGCACTTTAACTTTTCAGGGTCTGAAACTGGAAAACAGTGCAGCTTATATTTGGAGGTACTTCCTTTTATTTATCACTTACCTCCAAGAGGGCTATCAGCATAGAAAAGATAAAAATAAAGAAGACGCCGATCATTTTTATAACGTTGATACTGGTACCCTCAAGCACCAGTAGTCAACTGCCGGTTGTCATCTGTTGAGCAAGCTTCAAATCATAAGGGGATAGAGAGAAGAAAGGTGATTGGCTGAGTAGATGATGATGCCATAGGTGGGTTCCATTGAGTCATTGTATATTCATATCTCAACATCTTCAGAGAGTCAGCAGAAATTGTAGTTTGAAAAAGAGTCAGGGTTGCCAACTGACCATATCTTGGCCTCCTTTTGTGCCTTTCAAAAAGGACCAGCCTGTGGAGATGTACCAGTGAAATACCGGTACGTTATTTGCATGGATTTAAACATGATCATGTACTCATTACTGGAGATCAAACTACTGTTAAGAGTTATAACTACAAGGCCCCTAGTTCAAAATATGGCAACCCTAGGAACGGTTCTTTGTAACTACATACCACATTGTGAATTTTGGCCCTAATAAAGTTTTTAAGTTGCAATTTCTCTACTGTGGTGACTGCCTCCTATTTTTGGTTTTGGTTTCTATGCCTCAAACACATGCATGAAATACAGAAATGCAAAAAAGAAGCTTTTTCCAAGCATCAGGTGGATGAAGAAGCTGTATCTGTTGAATTTCTTGGGGTTGTTTTTTCTCCCCTTCTTTCCTGAAACATTCCAATACAGTGCCACAAGGGGAGATTTTAAACCTCCTGTTATGTGTTCCTTCAATTTGTAATCCTCATCTCCAGAATACAATAAATGGAGGCTCAAACAATCTCATTCTCTCCACCTTTGCACAGCAGAATCCACTTCTGACTTTGAATTACATATGTACAATGTTAGAGTTATTTTTTTGTTTGTTTCATTCCACCCTGTGTACTGAGTAGAAAACTTGCCAAAATGGTTTGAGGCATATGTACATCCGTGTGTACATACTCGGATCTCATGTCATTGTGTGGAGATTCTCACATAATGTGTGATGCAGTCGACTGCTACATGCAAGAATCTTCCGTTTTAAGATGATTAAATATTAAAAGGTATTGACATGAAGGGCAGACATTAAATAGTTGATTTCTTTACATAGTTGTTGCTGGCCACAAAGAATATCCCCAGTGCCTTTTTATGTTCTCACAGCAGTGAATCATTTCTCCCCTATGTTTCAGGGTTCCTGGCCCATAATTTGAACCCCTGGGCATTAATCTTCTTTTCATGCAATCTAGTTGTGCTTTGTAGCAATCACAGTAACTTCACAGTTTGTAATGTGACCCTGGAGAGGTCATTTCAGTACTGCTAACACACGGTTTGAGTTCATCCCTGGAGGTGCATTCCATTGTCTCTCAAGACAGACGGATGCCAACAGCATTCGTTGTCACTTAGTAGTAGAATCATAGAACTGTAGAGATGGAAGGGACCGCGAGGGTCATCTAAGTCCATCCCCTTGCAATGCAGGAATCTTTTGCCCAACACGAGGCTCTAACCCACAACCCTGAGTTTACCTCTCCTAGTATTGTATGAGTTTAGCTTGGCAGTTAATTTTATTGTTTACTTTTTTAAATTACTTATTTGAAGCATTTATACCCTGGTCTTCAGTTAGAAAAGTTCCCACAGCAACTCACAAACCAATAAAAAAAAATAGTCCCTATCTTCAGGTTTACAATCAAAAGGACATGCAAGAAAATAAGAATGGGGAAGGAAAAGGAAAACAATAAAACTTAGGCACAACATTCTAATTTATAAAGAATTTATAAGGACCACCTTGGATGGAAATGGGCTGATCACATTTTTTTTTTTAACACATCCACAAATAGGCCTTAGCAGCCTCTGAGAAAAAAATCATGGTGTCATAGCTCCTGGAACTGCTGTAATACAGCCAGTTGTTGTTGCACTTACAGGGCATGTCTGAGACCTAGGCAGAATCTGCCACTTTGTTGTGGCAGGTAGGCTAATGTGGCCCAAATTGATACCATCAAACCCAAAGCAAATGGGGTTCTTCCTCACAAGGCAGTTGGTAATAATTGTCTCCAGAAGAGGGGCCTATCCCAAATGTTGAAAGTAGCCGTGAGGGGAGATGGCAGTTCCTCACTGCCTGCTTCCTTAATACGTCTTTCTTGTTACACAGATAGTTACGTAAGGAAGATTTTGTAAGCAATAGTTACTGTTTCTGGATGTAAATTGTAAGCAGTTACTGACTGGCATACTGCATTATTAGTTGAATGCCAGGGAATAGGATGAAATCATGTCTTATAATATATATAAACTTGAAAAGATCTGGATTGAAGCCCACTTTTGGAACGATGCAGTCTCAGTTTAACTGGCTTGGTGCAGGGATACAGAATGCCTGCCCTGGGCTTTGGAAGTACACAAGGGCAGGATGCAAAAACAGTAGCTGACAAGTTTTGCATTAACTCGGATAGTTTGGGGAGCCTGGCAAATACACAGTAATGTGTTTGCTTTGTGAATGGAGACTGGTCTAGCACAATTACAGATTAATTAATTTGCCACTTTTCTAATGAGTCAAACTGCAGAACTGAGAAGCAGATGGAAATTTAATTAGTAGGCCGCACAATGGTTCTGATCAAAAGATTCATGCAATTGTCCCTAATTTACATGTTCTTTGCAGGGAATCAGTTACCACCTGATTTGCTCAAGGTCACACAGAACAGCCAGTAGACTATAATTCCGTTCCAGATAAACATTTAAAAAACAAACCTTGGCAGTAAAGCTAGAAAAAGCAATCAAACTAGTACCCAAGCCAAATAATTTGCCTTGAAAGCTGCCAACATTAAGCTGCGTCCATCACACTTGCAGGGACAAAAATATCCCCAGGCCAGAGTGTTAAGAATGCTTTCCTGCTATCCCTGAAGGGTTCTTTTCCTAAGTTTTTGGGTGTATCTGCACACCAACTTCTCCATGCCTCTGGTGCTAAAGCATATCTAAAAGAAAAGTTGCCCCAAGCAGGTGCAGAACTTAAGAACCTTGCATCCATTTCTGCAAGCACTACACCATCAGGGCATTCTTAGCAGCAGAGCCCATTGCACCTAATTTCCTAAACCACTGAGTTACTGGCCTAATCTTTGCTATGCTGCAGCCCAGCTGCACCAGAAGACTTGAGTAGCAGCTTGGCAGACCCTATATAAATGTTACTTCAGGCTTGCTTGGTGTGTAAGTCTGAGCAACTTGACGCTAAGGCTCCTAGTGACTTGCTTCATATACCGGTAGTTGTTTTCTCTGGAACTCAGCCTTCAGCCTAGCTCTTTACTGTGGCTCCTGGAACCCTGATCCCCTTGCTCAGTCCGAGCCACCAAAAGCCAAGAGGAGAACTCTGCGGGAGCATAAGAACATCAAACACATAGTTGTGTCTATTCCGTGATTCCTCAGAAATACATATAAGCTGCAGGCATGCTACTGACTTTCAGTGAAAAAGAACAGTACAGCAGAGCACTTGCAGTTGCAGATATATTTTGGGAAATATGTGGGCACATGCTGAAAGTTCAGAAGCAGTCAGTTGTCGGCATCCGTTTGTCTCGAGAGACAATGGAGTGCGCCTCCAAGGGTGAAATCAAACCAGTATGTTAGCAGCACCAAAGTGACCTCCCCAGGCCTGGGCAGTGTGCATGGAGGTCGTGGGCTGCCCAGACAACAGCCATCCTCCCAGCCTTGTTGATGTGGTCCAAAAGAAAGCATAGCAATACGCGTGGCAACAGTTTGTCTGTTGGAGTTGCTGGAAGGAGGCATAAAAGGCACCATCCAACTGTCTTAGGCACTCCACTTGGGATTTGTGTAGGGTAGGGTTTGCTCCTGAGCCTTTTCTTCTTCTGCAGATATCCTGCAAGGCAGCAGAGGTTTAGCATCAGTTTTCCTTATCTAGATGGGCTACCTTCCCAGGTTGATGAGCCCCAGCTGCCCCTCACGTCCCTCTACAGCTCATGCACAAACCACCTTCTTGACTCTTGGGCCCACTATTGGTCTCATCCACTCATTGTGGATACCCTCACCTGGTTGATCTGGCCAGTTGAAGATGTTCCCAGGGTGTGGCCGCTGCCGCATGCCGACAGATTCTAGGAGTCAAAGATGAGAGCCAAGTGCCAGGTACAGACCAAAGGTGGACAAACTACCCCAAAGAAGAACAATCTTAAACTATATATACAGAAACTATACAGTGGTACCTCGGGTTACAAATGCTTTGGGTTACAAACTCCGCTAACCCGGAAGTAGTACCTTGGG